TTTTTTTTTCTGGCGTTGCCAGATAACGGCACAGAAAGATGCACCAAATGTCACCTTATTGTATCTGTGTTTATGAAATAGTTACTAATTAATAGTTAATAATGAAAACGGTTCAGAACTAAGGAACATTTTATTGCAAAAGCCCAACTTTATGATCAAAGACAAATCCACATCGATGAAAAATAAATCAAAATACTCTGTGGTATTTTCAGGAGGCCGGACCAAATGCGGGGGCGGGCCGGATCCGGCCCGCGGGCCGTAGTTTGGGGACCACTGGTGTAAACGATCAATTTATGATGTGAGACATCTCTAAGAAGTACGATCAAGTTTAATACATCATAGCTGGTCACCTGACGGCGCAACAGCACATTGATTTAAAAAATAAAAGCGATCTGTAGACAAACACTCTCTGTATAGGCCCATTGTACCTATTTGAAGAACTTAGTTATAAATATACAGAAGATAGACAATTGAATCAAGGTCCCTGGATTCTTATATTTTGTTTGTACGGTTTATATAACATTTTATTTTGACGACAGCAATTTCAACCGGAAACTGAATAGCTTTTAGGCGAACATGCTAATGGGGCAAAGAACGCTATCATGACACCGGTAGGAAGGAGGAAGGGGCAGGACTCTGTCCACACTTGCACCAACAAAAACCTTTGGCAGTTTGACGACACGATCTCCCGTAAGAAGTTGGCTGAGGACAAGACGCGATGTAAAAATCGTTGTGAAGTAATCCGGAGAATTCACACTCGGTTCATCTTTTTACGATGGCGTTGTGAAGAACAAGTGACCAACAGCTTTGACAGAAGTGTGAAGTTCGCATTAAATCCCTCAAACCGTTTTTACATTTATATCCCTTTGAAATAATCTCAGGGATGGAAACTGCCATACCATCCAAAACTGCCCTTCTGCCCCAAATGTTATCGGAGGTCAAGTAATCATGGTAAGTTATCGTTAACTTCGGAATTTGTCAGTTTTCTGCACGTTTGCACTGTTTAAAAAACCAATAAGAATAATTTTAAAGAAGTTTGATAATACTGTATTTCCTTTTTAGTAATAAATGCTGCCATGTTTTATTCATTCAACTTTTGCTGTCTGTTAGTATTCTCCGTACTCCTCGATCTGTTTCCCGTGAATGACAGGAGTGGTACGATGAACTATATTAGACATTTTGCAAAGTACAATTCTAATGTATTTGTTATTGGGTAAGAAAGGTGGGTTCTTCACGACCCTTGATATATCTTTTTGGGGAGGGGGAGGGGGGTATTGATGTTAGTTCTCTTCAGGCTTGTTTGGTTGACGATTTATCAGTTGTGACTGCCCCCCCCCCCTCCCGCCCAAAAAAAAATCACTGAAAAGTTTTTGCATGTTAATTTAAAGAACCGAATCAGTGAACGTAACCTTCAGTGCTGCCTGTTCGTGCCTCTTCTTTTTTTTTGTCCCTTGGGACTCTGACTGCTTTGCTTCCCAGTCGAATAAGAGTTGGTAAGAAGCAGTGACGTAAAGTTAGTATAATCCCAAAAAGATCTAACAGAAGCCCAGTCAAGACAACTACTGATCTGTCTACATGAAATACTCACAAAATTTCAGTTCAGCGCAACAGCATAATTCACAATATTCATCGTTCTTTTCGTCAAATAGCTTTTAATATTGATGTGGTGTACTATTAAAGCTCACGGGCACTTCTTTTCACAAAAGTGAAATTAATTACATCTTGACTTTGTGTGTGTGTGTGCGCACGATATGTTGTTTGTGTTGATCCAGAGCTCTGACCCTCTGTGTTTGAGGAGGGGTCTCCGGCCTTACTGAGTTGACCTCAGCGTTGCCATGGAGATTACAAGAGTCACTTCCTGAATTCTCAGCCCATCCCAGGGTGTATTTGTCAGGGAGAATGAAAAGCTTGTCGAGGTGAATTCTATTTGAGTTGTATTATTCACAGATCAAACATGTAATGACTAAACACATTGCAGCCAAGTTAAGAGAGAGAATACAAAAAAAGACTTTCAGTGATGAAATCCATCCCCATTTTTAGTGACTGCTCAGTCATTCTTTATGTACGAGGTGCTAGCCTCTGATTATGCCTACGTAATATCTATTTTTGTAACTTTTACTTTATTAAGCATTGGTAAAAAAGTCTTGGAATAATTAAGATGTAAAACTTTTATCTTGATGTTGGAGAGCCAGCAGTTTGCAGTTATGCTCAGTTGGAGGTCATCTGGAGCTCAATAAAGAGATCTCACAAATAAAACAATTGTAATTGTGCATGTAGACAGGCAGGGGAAGTGTAACTGTCTTAAAATGGACAGATGTGCCATTTTATATCTTTCTAACGTTCCGTTTCGTGTTCAGTCTTTGATAGCAATTCAACTAAATCACCAAGGAGTTCCAGTTTTGCTTTTACTGCACACAAACGGTTCCTTTTGCTTTAAAAAGGTCAAACCCTCAATGAAATATGACTGCACAAAAAATAAAATAAAATAAAATAAAAAGATTACCGGGTACTATTCTAACCTCACTTTGTAGTACTCAATGTTCATCTCCTGAGGAAGTGTTTTCTGCAAGCTACTCAAAGGGTGTCAAGGAACATTAACCGGCTTTGTAATTCTTTAGGAGTCCTCAGTGTTAATAATCACAGTTCTGGTTACACAGACCACCAGCTCTGTTAGTGTTCAGGAAGCTGTTCGGAATATCCGGTGGCCTGTTAAATTGCTGACATGGACTGATGTACAAGGTCAACTTGTCAAGGATAAGAAAGCTGAGGGAAGGAAGAAAGGAGGCTTTTCTGATAAAGAATGGAAACTTTTGAGAAATCTGATGTCAAGGCTAGTTGCAGGATTTTTTTTATGTATTGAAGATTTGGACCTCTGCTGCTGTTAAAGTGTCCTTATCTGGTGCATTGACAATATATCAACCCACACTTAGTGGAAAGAGGGTTAAATAATTTAGGAAAATAATACATGAATAAAATGCTGTAATTTTTGTGAGTTTTTAAAAGTGTTCACTTCAAGATAAGTGGAAGCGTATGGGGACCCCTAATGCTCTTGCATACCCTCAGGCTTCATTGTGGAAAAGTCACGCTGTTGACATGAAGGCCATTCCAGGAAACCTGTAAATGTAAAACCCACTAAGCTGAGCTGTAACCAGCAGAACGGGGGTTCTACGTGACTCGACAAGAATCCAAGTACCCAAGTTACCAATTAAACTATTTTGTAAAAAAGAGAAGTACCAGTGTTTCTGACAAAGGTTACAGTGTGTCAGTGTGTGTTTTTTGTTGTCATAGAATGTCTCAAGAAAAACACATATGCCCACTTTTGTTTGGGGGGGGGGGAGGTATGTATTTCCACAAAGCTGTAATTTTTTATGTTGTGAAAATAAGCCTTTGAAATTATTTTAAAAATACTGCTTTCCATGCCCTCTATGTTCCTGGAACTCAATGGAACAGGGCTTTGGTAGAAATAAACTCAAATTCCAATGAAGTTGGGATGTTACGGAAGAGGATTAGGGCCAATGAAGAAAAAAAAAAAAAACAAGGTTGGCAAGATTCTCACTTTAATCTCAGAATTAAAGTCAGAATTCTGAGAATAAAATC